TCTCCCTCTGCTACTCTCTGAGACAGCAAGACCAATCCCTCTTTTTCCTCCTTCTCAGGCTACTCAATGTGAAGACAACGAGGATAAAGACCTTTATGATGATTCACTTCCATTTAATGAATAGTAGATATATTTTCTCTCCCTTATGATTTTCTTAATAACATTTTCTTTTCACTAGCTTACTTTATTGTAAGAATACAGTATATAAATACATACAACAAAAAAATGTGTTAATTGACTGCTTACATTACTAGCAAGGCTTCCAGTCAATAGTAAGCTAATGAGCAGTTACATTTTGAGAGTCAAAAGTCATATGCAGATTTTTTTCAACTGCACAGGGGTCAGCATCCTAACTCCTATGTTGTTCAGGGGTCAACTGTGTATTTTCCTGTTTTGTTGCAACTTTCATTTTAACTTTTACATGACTAATAAAATATACAGAAATTTACTATTAGGGTAATAAAACAAAATAAATGGATAACCACTTGGGAAAGAATAAGATCTTAACTTTTCAGTCTGAACAATAATAAACTTCAGTAGATTAAAAATTTGTTGCAAAAGTGAAACCAGGGCCAGGGCCAGGTGTGGTGGCTCACGTCTGTAATTCCTGCACTTTGGGAGGCTGAGGCAGGAGGATCACCTGAGGCCAGTAGTTGGAGACAAGCCTGGGCAACATAGTGAGACCATGTCTCTACAAAAAAAAAAAAAAGAAAAATCAAATTAGCTGGACATGGTGGCATGCACCTGTAGTCCCAGCTACTTGGAAGGCTGAGGTAGAAGGATGGCTTGAGCCCAGGAGTTCGAGGCTACAGTGAGCTATGATCCTGGGCAACAAGAGTAAGACCCTGTTGCTTAAAAAATAAATAAATAAAGTGAAAACATAGAAACACCTAAGAAAATATATCTAAATAAATATATTAAACAATCTATCACTTTCCCACTAATAGATGCTAACTTTATTACATATTAAATTCTAAATGTTTTCTCTTGTGGGAATACTTTCAAGCATGGAATGCTCCCAAGGGAAAAAAACTATATAAAAAAAAGTTATATCGAACTATAAAAAAATTAAAAGTTGATGTTTCAGAAAATACTACAGGCAAATTTTAAAGGCAGATGATAATGTGGAGAAAATGTCTGTAATATATATGATGGAGTTAATATTCTTAAGGCATAAAGACTATCAGAAACAAACAAGACAACCCAACAGGAAAATGGCAAAGGACTTGAACAAGCAATTCATAAACAGCCAAAACACATTATCTTAAAATGCGTATTCTCACTAGAATCTCAGAAATCCAAATGAGAAAAATAACAAAATGTCACTTTTGCTCATCGTGTAGGCAAATATATATTTTTTAATGTCCATTATCCAGTTTTAGCAAGGGTTGGCACTTTTTCAGTAGGAGGTAAGATAGTAGATTTGAGGAAATGGGTGAAAGTAAGTATGGTAAATGTGAGTGGCTGCCAAAGGACAATCAGTATTTGCTGGACCTCCTGGAGGGCCTTCCTGATGCTGGAGACAATTTTTAGTGACTCCTGTCTGTATGATGCAATTTCCTTTAGCAGCACTCAGGAAATATTGAAAACTTGAATTCAAGGTGGTTTTGCAAAGTGAATGTGGTGAAATGGCAAGGGTGCAAGAGATTTAAAGCTAATGGCAAGATAGTGATGGAATATAGGCCAGCAGAAAATGAACTGAACCATTCATGTTACCAGTATTTATTGAGCACCTCATGAGCTGGCATATAAGAAAATTAATTACATTTGCATATTGATCTTTTCACCAATGACTTCACTAGAATTCATTTTCTGGTGTACAACTTTTTAGTTGATTCTCCTAGGTCCTCAAAATAGACTATCATAACATCCATAAATAATCTAACATCTCCTCCTTTAAAATATTTACAATTCATTTCTTTATCTGGTCTTTCTGCCATGGTTATTATTTAAAAGTATTGGCAAGCATTCTTGTTCTTCACTTAAATAGAAGAATCACGAGTGTGTCAATATTAATTATGATGTTGGCTGTTAGTTTTATCTCTCTTTATATGGTTAAGGAAGTATTCTTCAATGACTTACTAAGATTTTCCCTAAACCAATGTGATCAAATATGAGAATATAAAATTTATTTTATATACTCATTTAGTATATTTCCTAACACTGAAACATTCTTATATTTATGTAATAAATCATTCTTGGTTTTAATATATAAATGCTGAATTTTGAAGTTTTAAAACTTAAAAGGTGACTAATACATGGTTTTCACTACTGACTATCTTTAAAAGGTTTTATGTCAGTGTTATACTACCTAAAACAAACTGAGAAGCTTTTCATATTTTTTCGTGTTCTGGAGAATTATCTGTTCCTCCTAAGTATGAATGAAGTCCTCCATATAATCTGAACGAGGCCTGGCAACACGTTCTTTAATAACTTTTCTTCCTTCCTTAGGTATATTCACACTTTCCACTTCCTTTTGGCTCACATTTTACCAATTTATGTCACCTTGAAAAGCATTCACCCTATTCAGATTTTCAGATGATTAGCATAAAACTGCATATGTGTACTCTCTAAGTTTTAATTCTCATCTGTGGATTATCTCTAATTTCTAAAAACTTTTAATTTTCTTTTTTTCTTGATTAAACTTGTTAGAAGTTTGTCAATTTTGTTTATCTTTTCAACAAATAATTCTGCTTTTGTTTTCTAATTTGTCACAGAAATTTAATTCCATCCTTTCTATTTATCTTTATTTTATTTTTCTGTTTCAAATTTCTTAATACAAATGCCTAATGCATCTATTTTCAGTCTTAAGGCCCGTATGTTTTCCAATTGGTAAAGCTGGAAATATGCTTACCCATGAGCTTTTCTACATACTGCAATCTGGCTCCTATCTCCACCACAGGACTAAAATTGTCCAGTCAGGTCACCTATCACATATATATTGCCAAAGATAACAAGCCTCCTACTAGAACTCTTTAAAAGCATCTGTCATTATTAACCATGCCCTCCTTCTAGAAACTCTCTTCTCTTAGCTTTTCTGATAAAACCTTATCCTAATTTTTGTCCTGCCTCTCTGGCCATCCTCTCTTAGCATCATACTGTTGACTTTTTTCCTTCTCTTAAATGTCAGCATTTCCCAAGACTGTGTCCTGGTAGCTCCACTCTTACAAAAAAAATTCTTCCTAGTGACTTCACCCAAACCCATGAATTCAACTATCTCTTATATGTGAAACTCTCTAAACCCAAATGTATCGCTCGCCTTTAGATAAGACCAGTTCCAGAGGGATGTCTCATAGGCACCTCAAACTCAACTTATCTAACTTAGACGATACCATCTTTATCTCCCAAATTGTTCCCTCTTTCTGCATTCTAGATATTTGTGGTTAGCCTAGGAATTATTCTAGATGGCTCCCTCTCACTTACCCACATTCAGTCAGTCATCAAGTTTTGAAGATTTTATCTTCACCCTTCAAGAATCTGTCCCCTCTTGCCTATTTCCAGAGTCTTTCCCTTAGATCATATGTGAATAAAAACAACTGCAATACTCCTTTAATTTTCCTATCTCCAACCCAGCCTCCCCACTTACATATATAAAACACATCATTTTCTAGTGGTATTTCTTAATAAATGAAAAATGTGTTTATAGGTAACTCATACTCATGTTCTAGCATATTCTATTTGTTACTTCTATTTAAGATGACCCCATCCACTCCTTTCTTCACCTATCTAAAGCCTACCTGTCCTTCAAAGTTCAACTGTCTTACGTCTCTCTGTGGAAAGCTTCCTCTCTGTAGAAGAGTACATAGAGTTTGCTAAATATACTCCTCCTTGGGTGCTAGCATATACCCTAGGCACATGTCTTTCATAAATCATAGGATTCTATAATAACCAGACTTATTTGGTCATTTTCCACTAAAGGAGAAGCAACCTTAAGGAGGTCAACAGACCTTGAGTGTTCATCCTTGTACTCTCAACATCTGGCACATATTTGTTCATGTTTAATGTTTGGGTATCATGTATAAATTATTTTAGAAGAGTTCTGTCTAAATAAGAACCATAAAAACAAATATAACCAGAAATGATTGTTAGTAAACTGGTGATGCAAACAGAAATACACAAGGCAAGAAAAATTAAGGTAGACATTCCAGCTCCACAAATTCATGTTGCTTTTCCAAATGAATCTGAGTCATGCATGTGGGTCAGGAAGTAGACTTAGGAAAGTGAAGATTGAACTTAGGAAAGTAAAGATTGACCAGGTATTCTGAACTAAATTGCTACTGACTATTTTATACCATATTACAAAACCCGGGCCTAATATAGCTAGCCTATTAGATAGAGTAGTACAATTAAAAAGCCAGCATGGTGATTGTGACACATCCTTGAAAAACTCATGTCCTCAATAATGAAACAAAAATAAAGAAGAATTTGATCATTGTAAATATATTCCTTAAGGTCCTACCAAAATACCCTGCTCAATTTAAGATATTAGATCTTACAGACCTTGTTCAGGTTTTTGTTGTTTATTTGTTTTTTTGTGGGATGTGTTTTTTTGTTTGTTTTCATAAATAATTATATAACTCAGAGGAGCATAAATTTCATAAGGGCAAAACTGTAACATCAGGGGTAGAAATACAAGCTGTTTGGAAAAAACATTTTGTAAGAGTTCTGGTTTTCCAATCTATATGTCATCTTAGCCCCCGGCTAAATATAGTAAACTTGCTTTAATTATACAACTTCTGTGACAGAAAAAATGGTAGTAAAATTGGAGCCTGAGACGCTATCTCTAATTATAACTCGATGTTATACTGTTTCTGGAATGAAGACTATAAACTTAGGTACAATCAGTCATCTCAAAATGAAAGTTGTTGGTGACAGGAAGAACTCAAAGGAACACAGAATGTAATGGGAAAAGTTACAAATCAATAATAAAATCATTAAAACATCTTTAATGTGAAAGATTCACATTCACATAATTTAATAATTACATTTTTCAAACATACCTTGTCCATTAATTTACTTGCATGAAGACTCAAGCTATTGAAGAATATTTTTTTGCTTAGCAAATGCATTTCTTCAATGGTAGTCAACAATGTAGTTGCACTATTTCCAACAATGCCACTAAAAGCAAAGGACATTTCAGGTTGCAAAACAGAAACTGAAACAAAACAGTTCTTTGAGTAGAATGCTTTAAAAAGACCTAGATTTAAATAAAAGTTTTTATGTAAAATATAACCTGTGAATTACAAATACTCTAGTTTCATATTTTAAAAATCAGGATTTTTGTTTTTCTTTTGAGTTAGGTGAAGAAAAAATAAAAACAAACTACTATGTTTTCAATATTTCACAATCTCTTTTAGCAAAACTGTGGGTCAGAACAAATATTTGTAATATACAAAACCCTATCTCTATTTTTCCTCTATTAGAGTAAATATATGTCTCGATTATCTAAGACAGTTAAATTTTAAGAAGAGCATTGAATCAACAGCTCTATTGATAAAATATTTAAATTGCATAAATACTGAGTTATTCTTTTAATTAAAACTGTCATACTATTATATCAATAACACACCTATAAATTAGAGTTTCTCAATTTTTATACAGCTGCCTACAGAGCAGTATATTTAGACTAACTGAAAAGTCTGATAAGTCTGAAAAGTATGATAATATTTTGAAATAACTAATTACATTAGTATGTTCCATAATCCTCAATTTGCTATTGTATAAGGATATTTCTTAGACCCATTCAAGGAGGTTTCCCATTTTTGCCAAGATCTAAGACAAGTACGTATATAAAATAATTCCCAATTTTTTTCTCCTAATTCACACACTAAAAATGATTTTAACAACTTTCTAGGGGAAAAGCTTCTTAAGGATATGAAAATATGCTGTAATCCAGTAGGGAATTATAATTTCTAAAGGTATCACAACATCTTCCATGCCTAAAACATTTTAGATTGCTAAAGATGAATATAATGGCATTAAATACTACCAAACAGTAAGCTAAAACACAGCAAATTTACTGATAAATCAAACCACATACGATATATTATAAAAGCAAATATTAATCTCTGCAAATGTAATATTTCAGTACAATTCTGAAACCAAAATAAATTAGATAAATTCTTACATAGTTCATGAAAAAAAGCAAATTATTAGTAAAATACATATATAGAGCAAACAGCAAAATACTAGCAAATTGCTAAACCAATAGCCATAATACTTATATTTTAAAGAAACAACAAGTATTTCAGTTAAAAATATTGTAAACCAAATACTAAAATAAACTGGATGGAATTCCCACACACGCCTGCACATGCAATAAAAACAAGTATTTCTCTGAACAAAAGTGTACATCAAGCAACAGAGGAAGCAAATTAAATGAAAACAAATAGAAGCAATTTAATGAAAAATTTAGAGAGAGCTCAACATATATTTACATTTTTTTTTAAAATTTGTAGTTATCAGCTGTACTTTGCAGTTACTCAGATCTAGAATTTACTAATGTTTATTGAGCACTCACTATGTTCCAGTAACTGGTCCAGATAATTGTAGACGTTTCTTCTGACATTTCATTCCATATTTCTATCCAACATGCTTATACTATTACTTGATTTTTCAGTTTTAGGTATTATCTACAAATTCCCTGATGTAGAAGATGAGAGTTAAACTCTCTTATACAGTTCTCCTCCTCCACCACAACACACTCAAACTTCACCTTCCCCAGGTTTCCTAATAGAGCCACGGGCACAGAGTTCTGGTAAATGACTATTCAATGTTTACATCATTACACTCATGTAAATACTATTCAGAGCTGACCAAAGAATGAGGGATACCCGAAACAAACCAATGAACAGGCTAGTGAAGAATACAAACCCCAGTGTGACAGCCAAGCAGCTTGCAGTAGGCCTAAAGGGCAACACATCTAGACTGGCGGGGAATGAGGGCTCCAAGAAGGGTATCAGACAGGGGCAGGAGAGAGGCCGATTACCTGGTGGACTATATGGTGAGACAATGAAGTGTTGAGTTCTCTTAAATACCTTGGATCCAAAATAGTGATAAGGGCATAGGAAAGTAAAGTACAAAATCAAAGTGTTTATTAATTCCAGGGAGAAAAGCTTTAAAGGAAAAGATATATAATCCAAGCATGCTCGAGTCCCTGTTTTTTGGATTCTATATCTTCCTTTTGTTGGGAGTTTTAATGTATAAGAGGTGAATTTTTTGAGATCTTGCATGCGTCTTGTTTTTTTCCCAACTTCACTGCTATTCCTTGCCAGTTTTGTGGTTTCTCCTCTTCTTGACCTCAAAATATTGGAGCTTCCCAGGACTCAGTCTTTAGCCCCATTCTTTATCTATACTCATTTCTCAAGTGACCTTACCTACTCCCATGGCATCAAATGTCATCTATTTTCTGAAAACTAAGACATTTATAGCTTCAGCCCTGATTTCTCTCTGTATTATTTGCTCACTCAAAATCTCCTACTCTATGTTCACAGATACATCAAATCTGACAAGGCCAAAACTGAACGGAATTCTTCATTACCCACCACTCCCATCCACCAGTTCCTTTCCAGCATTCCCCATCTCAGCAAACAAAACCATTCACCCAGCTGTTCAAACCAAAAGCCTTATTCATCCTTGACTCCTCACACCTCACGCTATCTAGTATGTATACATGTCCTATTGGCTGTGACATAAATTATCTCCGAAATCAACTACTGTCACCCTAGTCTAAACTCATCATCATCTCTTCTCAGGACCACAAACTGCTTTCTAAATATCTTCCTTATTTTCCCTTTTGTCTCACTACACTACATGATTCACAGAGTATTCAGAGTAACCTTGTAACACGAACCTGCTCAAGTCACTCAAAACCCTCACATTTTTCCCAATCTTATTCACTCAGTATGAAATCTAAATAACCACTATGGCCTTCAAAATCCTATACGAGCTGGCCTCTCTCTACCTTTCTTATTTCATCCCCCCCTACTCCTTCCAATTCACTATACTCCAATTCCTGGTCTTCTTTCTAGTCCTCCAAAATGCAAGCTTTTCCTAGCTTCAGTACCAGAGTGTATTTTTGTCCTGGACATTCTTCCCCAAGATCTTTTCATGCCCAACTCCTTCATATTATTCACATCTGTATTCAAATACCACCTCTACTGAATGGCCTCAAAAATAGTCACACACACATATATCTAGTCATATATGGTCACTCCCTATACTTTCTATTTCCTTTCTCCTGCTTCATCTTCAGTACCCTTATAACTACCAAAAATTATTATTTTATACTTGCTTGTCTCCCCTACTAGAATGTAAGTTTAAGTTCTGTTTTGTTAATTACTGTTTCCTTATTACCTAGAAGAATGGCAAGTATACAGTCAACTTTTTAATTGAATGAGGAAATGTGTGAACAAGTAGAAAAAGTACATGCAAAAAGTCAATCAAAAAAAGATTTTGTCATCTTCAATATCATCTTCAAAGACAGAAAAATTACAATTATCAGAGCCTAAAAAACCTATTATCATCTTCAGAATCTGAATTATTTTTTTCTAACATTTTCTGCATTAGAAACTAACATATCAATATCTTTAAATAATAAATTTCATTTAGTCCCATTATGGACATTATTAAATAAACAATTTTAAAAATTATTTTACCAGCATCTTTTTATAACACAGCACTTGCTATGTCCAGCTTTCAGCTGTCCTTGTGTTTTCTAAGTATTTATTATTCTCTTATTATAGGATGCTATAATATTACAACTGAAACTAATTCATTGCTTTTGAATTACAGGAAAGATGACAATAAGTTTATATCTAAAATATTAAGGGACTAATCCAAATCCTATCTCTGATCAGTTTTGTAGACTACAGCTTGTTAGTTTTGTTTGAAAATCTACTAGTAAGATGTAAAATCCCCTTCTTAGCTGTTTGTTAAGTTCTGGGTGGCTACTGTCTGTCACTAAGGGGTAGGTGATAACCTTACCACAGTTTTTTGGTACTCTGTAAACTAGTGCTCCTTCAACCTTTCCTGGTAATGTCAGTTATATTCTTCTTAGATTTTTAACAGTTGGCCTACTATTCCTGATACTGGCATACTGTATAACAAGTAATTTTTTTTTTTTTTTTTTTTTTTGAGACGGAGTCTGGCTTTGTCGACCAAACTGGAGTGCAATGGCCGGATCTCAGCTCACTGCAAGCTCCGCCTCCCAGGTTTACGCCATTCTCCTGTCTCAGCCTCCCGAGTAGCTGGGACTACAGGTGCCTGCCACCTCGCCCAGCTAGTTTTTTGTATTTTTTTAGTAGAGACGGGGTTTCACCATGTTAGCCAGGCTGGTCTCGACCTCCTGACCTCGTGATCCGCCCGTCTCGGCCTCCCAAAGTGCTGGGATTACAGGCTTGAGCCACCGCGCCCAGCCAAGTAATTTTTAAATAATTATTTAATGGAAAAATACAAAAACTATCAAAAATATGGCTTGGAAAGACATTGTTGTAACATAACTACACATGTAACAGTCTTACAGTGACAGTTATAATAAAACTCAAGGGTATACCACCAACAGACAAATGTAAAGCAAAAATGAATGCATATTTTGGAGTCAAAGATTACATTTTATATAAGACGAGTGGTTCCTAATCAGATAAAGTTGCTGGTATGTAGCGAAGATAAAGCTATGGTTCTATTTTATCACTTATAGTAAACTAAATGCTGAAGAATTTAGGTTATTTACATCCAGAATAGAACATTTAATTCACTATGCTCTATTGTGAGTATATGGTATAGTTGCGTTAGTTGCCTTGGATGTCTTTTACTAATGCAGGAAGACTCAATAAAGACTTACGTTATAGACTTATATTGTTATATAAGGGGTGTGTGTGTGTGTGTGTGTGTGTGTGTGTAGTTAAGCTTGGAGAAAAAAGGAGAAAGGAAATAATAGACCTTAAGGCACAGCATGTATAATATGCATATAATGATTTACATGGTGTGGAGGTTCTACTAGTTATGCTTAGTCTATACTTAGTGTATAATTACCATACACAATATAAAAAAAAATCTTATACTGTGCTCTAACTGAAAGAAACAGCACATTGGATTTGGCAAACACATTTTGCCATTCCACTTACCTGATTGTATGGTGATAAAATTTGAGGAGATTAGAAATTTTATATAATAAAACTGCCCCAGGTTCAGCAACTATTACTTGCTCAATTCGAACCTATTAAAATACATGAGAAGAAAGTAAACATTTCTTAAAAGTATAACTTTTTTTCATTAATAACATACGGTATGAATAGAATAGCAAAGACAAACTTTTATTATTGCAGAGATCACAAAATGCCTCCTAAATAATTTCTGAGTAGTAAGTCATACAAGATGGTAAAGTAACAAACATTTTAATATAGATATACTCTACAAAAAAGCTGACCCATTATTTGCAGAATTTGGTTCAAGCCAGTTGTTACCAGAAATATCAATACATTGAGATCATTTGAGATTTATCACCAGTATATAATGGAATCTGGTTCAATACTAAATTGTAAAGGCAACTGCTACATCCATAAAACAGATTATCAATGAAAACATACTGCTTTATTGCCAAATATTCAAGAAAAAAAATTCCAGTCTATAAATTATTATATCAAGTTTGTCTATTAATCAAAGAATAGAAAAGTAGACAAATCTTGAATTAGCACCAACATATTTGCCAAATTATAAGATTACCAGAGCAAAATCAGATCTAGTTCAAGATTAACTTGATCTGCATCAAGATTTAGCAAATATGAATCTTTTCTAATTAAATTTCATCCTTCACTGATCTTTCTTTTCTCTTATTAATGAATACAATCTAAACTACACTGATAAATGCTTACTTAAATATTGTATCTGCCCTTAAGCTATTGCTTACATTATATCTTCTTGCTTTCCTAACTAGTTTCTAAATACAAATACAGTATAGACATTATGTCTTCTTCTGCCTATTTTACATCTCTGTAGCGTCTGGTAGAACAGTATACACACAACAGATGTTTAATAAATGCTTTTAAAAGTTGAACTTTCTCTGTATTTAGATTTTGGCATATGTCATAAAACAACTATGATTTGCTAAAATGACATTTTATATCTGCATACAAAAGCCTCTTAGATTATAGAAATCAATTTACATTTACATTAATATGTTTATGAAATTGGTTCATCTGTTGGTATAGGTGATAGACTATCTAACTACCACAATACCATGGATCATGAATGGCATTTGAATTTAAAAAATATATTTTTCCATATTATAATTTATTTTTAAACCAAGACCTTAACAGTGACTTATATGTTTTATCAATAAAAGTGATATTTTCTTAATTTTAATATAATTATTACAGAAAAATATAAAAAATGTTAATTGTAGGCAAACAGCTCTTTACTAGCAGATTTTAAACACCATCTCAGCTATATGGCCACCTGCCTTCCAGAATTTTGAGGCATCAAGAAAATATTCTTAGTTCTAACTCCCTTAAGAAAGAGAGAAAAGAGGGGAGAGAGAGAAAGAAAGAAAGAAAGAAAGGAAAATAAAAGAGGGAAGGGAGGGAGGAAGGAAAAAAAAACAATTTCTATCTCTCTCGAATACAAAGGTTTTGAGGGAAAGCGGCAATAAACAATACAACAGCTACAATACAAAATACAACAGAGAAAGGCTGGAAAATCAGAAGACTGACAAATAATACACCAAGAATGCTTTGTTTGCCACACAGAAAGAAACACTCTGTCTTATGAGGGCTATATGAGAGGCTAACCATTTTCAGCAAAACCCAACAGTCACAGGAGAAACAACAAAAGACAAGAGAAACAAAAAGTAAAAAAGGTCAAAGAGACCAAAGAAGTGGTGGTAGCAGCAACTGGGCTGGAAATTATCACTGTGATGACAGTGGAGGGAAAAATCATTAGCAGAGCTGGAAAGCAGCAATGGGAATAATGGCTCAGATATAAAGTGTGTTGGAACAGATCCTGGCACATCATAAGCACTCAATAAATCCTAACTGCATTGTGAGAAGCAGCATCAACCATAAAGGCAGATATTAAAAGTAGCAAAATGGGCTTCAGGCACCCTGACAGCAGAGAAGGTAAGGAAGAGCTAAAAGAACAGTGGCTCTCCTCTCCAAGGCCAGAGAGAAAAAGTGAGAGCAAGAGAAAGAGAGTGGGTTTGTGTTCATGAAGGGGACATAGGAAGAAGGGAGGACTAAAAAAGATGATGATGAACTTCCTTTACCTTAGTATCACAGACAGCTGCTCAGGGTAGACATCTGTTCCTATGTATACCTCAATCTGAGGGCCCAATGACTATGTTGTGTACAATATTCAGCTTTATTTTTCATGCCATTGATCTTTTACATTATGCCTGCCTTCACAGAACCTGCCATAATCTAAGGTCTGTAGCATACACTACCCTAAAGTTTTTATTAAAAGAGAAAATTCAAATGATAGCTGGTAATCTATCAGCAATCTAAAACATTCACATAAAAGAAGGATTTTATACCCATGGGCTTGAAAAAAATTTTAATATATTAGTTCTGATCTTTCTAGCTACAATTTTTGGAGTAAAGACATGTACAAAGTAATAGGGTTGATGCTGATGAGCCATGGATAGTATCCTCTACACAACATATGTAATCTTAAACTTAGAGCACCAATTCTTTAAACTGGCAATAGATTTACAGATCTTATCTTAATGCATACATTTACAAATATTTAATCTACCACCTATGATGTTTCACTTTACTAAGACAAAGAAAAGATTAAACAAGGTAGAATAAATCAAATATATAGTTTCTCAAGGATTATCTCCCATTACCACTATAACCTTTTCTTTATGCTTCTAAAAATCAAAATCTCCTACTCTAAAAAAAAACCATTTCTACAAAGAAGAATAATGGACAGAAAAGTAGCCATAACATCCAATATCATATGTCATTAGAAAAAGTTTAGTTGCTTATCAATTAGGAAGAAGAAATTTTGTATGAGTGAGATTATAAAAGCAGATTGATCACTAGAAAAATTCAGAATTATAATTGCAAAAGGAAATATTAAAAGTCAAGATTTTTTTCCTCATCTAACAACTATATCACTGAAAATATAACCACCAAATAAAGTACAGAAAAAAAATTCCTAAAATAATGTAACACTGTCTATCAGTATAAAAGGAAGGGAAGTATGAAATTGCTAGATTATATATCACTATCAAGCTAATTTGATATGTAACTATTGTGAACACCTGCTAAATATTCTCTGGAGTATGCAATACATATTATCATCATATGGAAAGATTTCAAGTTTCTGTCATTTCAGAAAAGGAATTTTTCTTCATTTTATGACAAAAAGATACTTGTCTGCTTACTAGTGTCTTCTTTCCCTTTGGCATCTTATATTTAAATTTGCCAGCAGATCACAGTAAGGTCCTACAATTGTCATAAAGATCTTTCTGAGCATGTACATTTAAGGAAGATGAAATGAGAATTTCTAAGTACATTTTAAAACAAAGGCAGACTTCAGTATATAACGTCTTTATCTAACTGGTGGGTATTAGTTTAAACATTTTTGATATAATAATTCTTACTCAAACCAGGACAGGAAACTGAAGAGTCCATTATAACCCTTAGATTCTAAAATTATAATATTTACACAATTACTTTTTAAAAAGAAAAGGAAAAGCATACACCTACTATGTAGCCACAAAAATTATAAATTAAATTTTTTTTAAAAAAGAAAGAACAGCTGTAAAAAGAAACATAATTACATAAGCAAGGAAGGGGGGAAGGTAAGGCAGATAAAGTAAAATTTATCTTTTACCTAGTCACTTTGATAAAGTGACTAGGAGTTTAACTATATGAAGTTATAAAAAGGTATAAAAGCATAGCAAAATAAATCTCATTTTATTCCTCCTCTTCTTCTATGTTTCCAGTAACTGCCAGTATACAAAATAAACAATATTTATAAGAGTTATATATGTCTACATCAAACTATGACAAGTAAATATTTCATTTGGGAGAAATAAGTAAAATAATTTCAAGATACTTTGCCATTTATTTTCTGAATATACAGTTACGTCCTATGAGATCAAGTTAGAGTAACAGTTAAATTTGTCAGTATAATCAATTGTCACAAAGTGTGTCATCTGAGATTTCCTTGCCTGGAACATATACCAAAAAAAAAAAAACTTAGAAATAAAATAAATTAATTTTAAAGTTCATTTCTTGAAAAAATTAATTAAACTTCTGGATTTCAATTTCCATGTACGAAATTGAAGTCAATCAAGGAAGTTGGTTTACAAGGAAAAGTAAACCAACAATTGCCAAGTATTCTCTAAATATTAATAAAGGAAAACAAAGGTATTTACCATCTGCTAAATACTTAGTGTCATAAACTATGTACTTCATCTACACAGTCATCCTCACAACAACCCTGGATGATAGATGTTTTAACATACAGGTTCCACGGGAGCATAATTCAGGCGCAGAAGAGTTAAGCAGATAGAATAAGTAAACACAATTAAGTGGCAATATGGGAATTCTAACTCAAATTTGATTCCAAATTCTGTTTCTTGTACTATAAATAGTATTGCTAATACTAATACATATTATTTTATCCTTGGATTAATCATTATTTATTGCTATAAGCAAAAACTCTTCTATGTTTGAAGCAATCAAGTAAACAAAATATTCTTAGTAAATCTCTCTGTTAAGAGTTCATAGATTTGCTATTTAAATTTAAGAGATTTTTTTCTCAATCAAATAAGAAAAATTACTACAGGAAATATAATCTGTAAAAGATAGGTCAATATATGCAAACTACAAATATTACCAATTTTCTTTCTCAGAGAGAAAACTGGCAATTATTATTTTAAAATGTTTCTTATTAGTCTACATCAGTGTGCTAATTTGAAAAAATTATAGATTGTATTTGAGTTGGTATCAGTTTCTTAAGTTCCTACAAATAAGGTAATAATTTAACCAGGTACCATATAGCATATGTAAAAACAAAATATTTTACCTTTAGAGGCCTGCACACACCTTCAGTGATATGCCCAACAACTTCTTGAATATTTTCTTCAATACCTAAAATTAATTACTACATAATTAATATTTGTTTCCATATTATACCTTGCTTCATATAAGTTCAAAAAACAAATAATATATAATACATATAATTAATGGCACTAATAACTTTTAAAATAACCATAACAGGGCCCAGCGTGGTGGCTCACGCGTGTAATCCCAGCACTTTGGGAGGCCGAGTTGGGTGGATCACAAGATCAGGAGATCGAGACCATGCTGGCTAACACGGTGAAACCCCGTCTCTACTACAAATACAAAAAAGTAGCCAGGCGTGGTGGTGGGCGCCTGTAGTCCCAGCTACTCGGGAGGCTGAGGCAGGAGAATGGTGTGAACCTGGGAGGCAGAGCTCACAGTGAGCCGAGCTCGCGCCACTGTACTCCAGCCTGGGCGACAGAGTGAGACTCCGTCTCAAAAAAAAAAAAAAATTAACCATAACAATATTTTGGTAAGTTTGATATCTCTTGGGACATTACTAATTGTGTTAACATATTACTAATTGTGATAATACCTAATATGCGTCTAGAAAGCCTTAATTCATTTGATTTTGAGTTAATAAAATGAGTATTTCTTTGTGAAAAATATTATAAGACAGAGGAAAAAAAAGTCTGAAATGTATTCATTGAATGAAGTGATGCCAAGATGTATTAGCATTTATTTTACAAACATCTTGTTCCAGGCAGTACTGCTTAGCCCATACACTGAGGGTATAAAGTTGAAAAATACACCTTGAAATCTTACAGAAAAACTAGTATTTTCCGAACACCAACTATTTATCGAGCTCTGTACTGGGTATTTGACATTTACTGCTTGTAACCACCTTCATTTTTACAGATGGAAAAACTGAGGCCCAGAAGATTGAAGTCATTCCTATAGAATAACCTACTTCATCTAACTACAATCTATTTTCTTCCTTAACACTGCCTTATATATACTTTTCTAAAACATCTTTAAGGAAACACATTTATTTAAACGGGGTAATGAGAATAATAACAGAAAGAGAACCTAACAATGCACACTTTGTGCCAATCTAACATATGCTGAGTCTAATCTTGATACTGAAGAGTTAGAATCTATGAGGTTAGTATTACCACCATAACACTGACTCATCTTGCAGATAATGTGAACCACAGAGGCGTGTGGCTGAGCTATGTAAAACAGTCAAGTGATACCAAGCCACAGTGTCTCTCTTAACTTCCTATCAAAAATAGAACATTTTAAAATCATACCTACACTAAACCCTCAAACTCTAAAACAGGCCTCCTTAGGTAATGACAACTAAGAAGATTGGGAATTCTGTAAACAAGACATCAGCAACACTCAACTACAGTTATTTTTCTTCCTTGACATCAAGACAAAAATTTTAAGTACATTGTATATATGGTGATGTAGTTGAGTGTTTGTCCCCTCTAAATTCATGTTGAAATGTAATCCCCAATGTTGGAGGTGGAGCCTGGTGGGAGATGTTTGGGTTATGGGAGTGGATCTCTTATGAATGGCTTGGTGCTATCCTCACAATAGTCAGTGTTGCTTAAAAGTGTGTGGCACCTCCCATCTCTCTGTCTTGCTCCCTCAATCACCATGTGACATGCTGGTTCTTCCCCTTTCACCTTCCACCATGACTCTATGCTTCCTGAGGCCTTCACCAGAAGCAGATGTGGGCATCATGCTTCCTCTACTGCCTGTAGAACCGTGAGTCAAGTTAAACCTCTTTATAGATTACCAAGCTTCAGGTATTCCTTTGTAGCAATGCAGAAACATACTAACAAATATGATAATTGGTTTTAAAATTTTAAAACAGTGTCATGAGAATGAAAAAAGAGGCTGGGTAGCAGAAATGAAAGAATTAGTAGCTTCAAGACCTTAAACAAGTCACTCAGCCTGTTTACACACAGATAAAACTAAGATAATACCACCTTGTACCTTTAATGCGTCATGTAGAGGATTTGAGATAATGTATGCTAGATATTCCAGAAATTTCTTAAAAGTGCCACAGAGGAGTCTAGGTTTGATATGAAAGGTCATTAGGGTTCACTATAAAACCGAACAGTTGAGTGACAGGACAAAGGTGATGGAAGAGAAAGTCTATTAGCAGAATGAGGGAGAAACCAGAGAAGAGAAAGACTAATCAGGACACTTATTATACCATCAAGGTGTTTATCTAAGTGAAGAAGATGGCAACAAGAGTAGAAACAGAGATGCTTGGGTTATTTTCAGGATGTAGGCATTAGCAATATAATCGGTGGACCCACCTTGTGTAGTTACATGCTTTAAGAGAGCTTCAAGGTGTTCCTTTTCAGAAGCAGTAGCTTGATGGAGCCAAGCCAACATATCTCCCACATACCTAATGAAAACTAAATGTTAATGAAGATTTCCTTTGGAAAAACATCCACTCCTCTTCTGCTGTCTGATTACTATACCTCAATGGGTCATGAGAGTGCATTTCAATTGGTCTAGGTGTACCTCCGGGGCCCCCTCTTGTGAGCGCATCAATAAATCCACGAACAACTGTACTTCTTCTGGCTGTTCCAAATTCATCTAAGGTATATCTAGAAGAAACAAGTTGTACAAAAAACGGTTGGGGTTCTTTGTCTCTAGTGGCTATATCAGATTTTCATGCAATTTCTGAGACAAGCAAGTACTTAAAGCTCTTTTAGGCATTCGGTCAAGCAACACTGCTTTCAAACAAGAAAAAAATATTTAAGAGATAACTTTGGCGCATTGAAAATTCAGTCAAAAAGTAAAAACTTTTAACCCTCCTAAGAAACAATGCTGGGATATGGGACTAAAGCAGAGGCAGCAGTAATAAGGGATAAAGCAATGGACTTAGTAAAAGTAGGAAAATCAAGCCAAGGTGGGAAGACTTAACTTTTTAGGTTTCAGTATATTCAGTATATTAGGTTTCAGTATATTTCAGTATATATATTTATATTCTAAAACGATGCTCTACTGTTTTACATAAAGCCATAAGAGTTCTCAAAAGCTGATTATAATTAGAACTCTGCAATCCAAGGCTGGGTGTGGTGATTCACACCTGCAATTCCACCACTTTGGGAGGCCGAGGAAGGTGGGCACTTGAGCCCAGGAGTTAGAGATCAGCCTGGTCAAAATAATGAGACCCTTTCTCATTATTAAAAAAAAAAAAAAAAATAGCCAGGCATGGTGGTGCATGTCTATAGTCCCAGCTACTCGGGAGGCTGAGTTAGGTGGATCCCTTGAGCCTGTGAGGTTCAGGCTACAGTTAGCAGTGACTGCTCCACTATACTCCAGCCTAAGCCACAGAGCAAGACCCTGTCTCAGAAAAAAATAAAAGAATTCGCAGTCCAAAAATGGAGGTTTTCTCTTCTACATTAAAAAGTTGTCTTTATACATACTATCACAATTTATCACCAAAATTTGCTCTAAAAATTGCTATCCATTTTTAAAAGCTTATTTTGACTCCAATATTAGATATAATAGATGTTCCTTAAATTTACTGACCAATCACATATACAAGCAAATACCTTTTTAAAAAACATGTATTAAGAAGTCACCTATTATAATTGAAAAGGCATGGAAAGGCTTTCTAAGGTGAAGGAACTGGTAGGGAAGGAAAGCTTTTAACTGGGGAACAGGACGATTTGGGATTCAATTTATAAAAAGGGCCTGGAGCTCTCTGTAGTACCCATTTCTTTGACTTGACTCAGTCTTGTTTCCCATTATTGCCACCATTCCTGACATCCATCCCTCAATTGAAAGTTCTTTCCATTTTAAAAGTATAAAGAAAAACACAATCTATTTTAGCAGTCTGATGTCAGCAGATTCTAGACTAACTTGTAAACCTCTAAACAGTATTCTACCATACCAAATTTTAAGAATTATGTCGGCCGGGCGCGGTGGCTCAAGCCTGTAATCCCAGCACTTTGGGAGGCCGAGGCGGGCGGATCACAAGGTCAGGAGATTGAGACCATCCTGGCTAACATGGTGAAACCCCGTCTCTACTAAAAATACAAAAAACTAGCCGGGCATGGTGGCGGGCGCCTGTAGTCCCAGCTACTCGGGAGGCTGAGGCAGGAGAATGGCGTAAACCCGGGAGGCGGAGCTTGCAGTGAGCTGAGATCCGGCCACTGCACTCCAGCCTGGGCGACAGAGCGAGACTCCGTCTCAAAAAAAAAAAAAAAAAAGAATTATGTCGATAACCTATTACCAAAACTTCCCAAGATACCCAAAATAATTAATATCTTAGGCTACATAGCTTTCTTTCATATGCTGTTAATTGGATGAAAAATCCACATTTCGGTAAACATGTGAAAGATGGTTTACTTCCAAATAAAAGAGAAAGCCTGTAGAACTGGCAAATAGCTATAAATATTTAGGAATATGAACCTTTTTTGAGGACTGTTTACTATTAACTAGACTATGGTTCTTTGTGTGTTTGTTTTCCATTAAAAAGAAATGGTTTTGAGATTCCCTGTGGTGACATACTAGTACAGAAAAGGGAAAGTGTAATATCCAGCTAAGTTTTGCTAAATTGCATAATTGTCTTGCATTTACTCTCTATTTTTTAAACAAATTAGAACCAAAATGCTCATTGCTATTTTTTCCCTCATGCTCTTAAATTATAAATCCATTTAGTGTGAAGAATGCCTTCTTTTAAATGATCTCCTGATTCTCTGAAATATGACTGCTTATCACAGCACAAAATTCACAATTGTTTAACTTTTTAAGTATATAAAGCTAATCCTCATTCCCAAGACCCTATTAACCACAGTAAAAATAAACAGCAAAATTTGTTTCTAGGACTGTCCACTGGGACCACAGTTGTAACAGAATCCAGTGAATCTACTGGTATCTTAAATAGGGGGTAAATTACCAAGCCTGGCAAACACTGGAATTTCATCTGTTTAACACTATAAAATATCAATAAACATTAATATTAATGTCAATCTTCCTATAGAACAAATATAATTTAAAGCAAAAACAGCATAAGCCATATGAACCTTCAATATCTTTAGACATGAAACATCCTGGGAAGGCCCAGAGACAGAAGAAAAATTCTTTCACCAAAATCAGACATTCTTCCAACAATAATCAAAATTCAAAATGGAGCTTTTTCAGGGTGAATGTTCAAATTATGTACATATTCTCAAATACCCCTAGTTAAAATTAAGTCTCATTTTAAAAATCGTGTTTTAGCTACCGTCAAAGAAATTCTGGTCAAAAAACAAATTAAAAGGTGAAAATTTTTAATCAAAAAGCAAATTAAAAGATAATAGTATAGAAGTGCCTCTTTGAAACACAACAAATACATAAAGAAGGAAGAAAAATCAGCATTGTACATATTACTACATTTTAAAATAACTTATATTCTAAAGGCTTACGAAAGGAAAGAAATTATCAAAATTTCTCACTTCCATTTATAATTATACATGATTTATTATTAAAAGTCAATAATGCATTAGCATTCCAGTTATATACTACATAAGAAACACTGAGTAATGGCAACTTTCCCCAGGGATTTCAATAATTGACATTTTTCTTGCCTATAATACTTACGTTATTTGAGACGTAATAATGGACAGTGAAGCTTTTAGACATTACTTACTAAGTTCATATAGTGCCATCTGGTGGTTAGCATGACACATTATTAAGTTTTCCCTAAATGTAAGGAAACTACCACTTTGAAAATAATTACTTAATGAAAGGCCAATTTCCTCTTTTTTAGCATTTATCTTGTTCTAATCATCTGGTCTTAAAAACTTACTCCCCCACTCAACTTCTAAATGTCTCTTAAAATCTTCCGAATTGCCATTACTGCCCCTGCTTCTTAGCATATGCCCTTCGCAGATAAACCTTCTTTGCCTCTCCATCATAGTTCCATTCTTTATTTTTCAAGCTTTTTCTCTGATTGCCACGTAGCCCTCAAATACACCCCTCCTTAGCTGACAGCTTTCTAGTCACCTCCTCTCAAAATAAAAATAATATCCAAACATCACACTACGTGCCTCAAGTGAACAATGTAACTTAATCTTCACATCAACCCTGTAAAATAGGCACTATTATTATCTTCATTTTACAGCGAAGGAAACTGAAGTTTATAAAGGTGTAAGGACTTCTCCAAGAAATCTGACTCAAGAGCCCACCTTATAAGCCATTTAATATTGCTCCTTTCCAAGTTTTGATAAAGAACTATAATTCAGTAAAAATTTATTTGCATGGCAGAAGTCAGCTGTTGTTTTCAGGTGCCCAAAACACACAAAGGCTTTTTTTTTTTTTTAAAGATTAACCTTGTGAATAAATATTAATCTGCAGACAATGCAACAGTTGTTAAAATCAAACACCAAATGTTTTAAGTGCTAAAAGACTCATATCAATGCCAATACGTTAAAGTGAAAAAGTTGAGAAAGAAATTTCAAAGAACTGCTAAGCTGCTGATCAATGGTAAACATTAACTTATCATATTATATGCACAACATTCAGGGCTATTACAAATCCAGCTGTTGCTCCTAATTCAATAGCCAGGGCAAGCTTTTGCAATTAATTTCCCAAAGGTGCATGTTCTCTCAATGTATATCTTTGCATTACTGTTCCCTCAACCTGGAAACTGTTCTTCCTTTACTTCTAGGAAAATGCCTATTCAGCCTTCAGAACTCACTTTATACCTAATTCCATAGGAAACTTTCACTGACGTTCACTCTTTCCCCTACCTCAGAATACTTGAGCCACACAGCATCTGGGACATGACTTGTAGACTAGCAATTAGTATATTCAATTAAAATGCATTTGTTTATCTCCAGTTCCATAAAATAAAGCAGTCTGAGGGCAGTGCTTTACTGAAGCTGTGTTTCTAGAATGTGAAATGGTGCTTAACACAGAGTACTCAGTAAGTAGCTCTGGGGTGTTATTCTTTTACACAGTTGGTCAGCATTTGTGTTCTGTGACCTTATGAGAGTATAAGTAGTGTTCCAATCAGAAAGTAATGGGAAGGTCCTCTAAAAATAGTATAAGCAGAAACTGAAAGGGATGAGTCACAGCAGGATGTACTACCTTGGTAAGAGTCCCCTGGTTTCCTATTTTCAGAATTAGTAATATCATCAACCCCTACATCTACCTAAAGCTTATGCTCATACTACTCTAGGCATTAAAGAAAGTATTTACTTTTTATTTTATAAAAATTAAGTGAATAAAATTAAAATATAAAATAATAAAACACATATCAACAAATATAAAATGCATTAAATTCTTATCCAAAGCATTACCACATAGCTCTTGTTTGGCGTCAATTAGGAGATCAAAGACCTGGGCCCTCTCTTCCTAAATCCTATTAATAGAACCTTGATATTAAATATTCTTTTTTTCATCTCTGCATAACCATATTTCTCAGTCCTGGTATGACTTCAGTCTCTGTAGGGAAGGATTCATATAGGAGTTTTAGTTACTTACAATTCTAAGGGAGTTAATGAGATGACAGGGGAAAAGTCACTGAACCTCTGTATAAATAAGAGGTAGTCTAGATTCAGAGACACTTTGGTTTCTCTTTCCATATTGTATTCTATAGTATGTAAAATTCAAATAAGCTGATATCCCGTGAAACAAATTCAAGTTAAGGTGAATAGTATTGTTGTAAATTATTACAAATATTACTCAAACTATTATATATGCTTTTGATTAATACTGATATATAAAGTAAATTATCAAAAGAAAAGTAGGCATTCTTTTTTAATTAAGAAAAAGTCACCAACTTATATAAGACAGGTCTGTCCTGCAGGGCTTCCATTGCCTGTGTCAATACTGGAGATATGTCACATGATTCTTGTGTCAATGTTCTGCATTCACCTGAAATATAATTAACATTATAACTTTTGTTAAATTCAGCTTAGATGTTTATTATGTCTGTTGCATTCCAGGAGTCTAAATTCTATGGCAAACACTCCATAAAAAAATTCCTCAGAAAAACCTAGATATACCAATCAAAAACTAATTTATACTGTCAACCAAACTAAAAAGTTAAGCTTAAGTAGTTATATAACTTTAAATGACCACATATGCTATCAGATATACCCCAAAGCTGTATTTTATTATAAAAAACTAGAGTTCTGAAAAAACCAACCAATGGACAAGTATTTCCTAATAACTGCCATATACATGACAGTATTAGGGAGGCAGGGAGGAGCACTAAAAATATATTATCAGTTCCTTCCCTGAGAAGCAATCTTTAAGCAATTCGCTAAAATTGTTAATGTGGTTAACCAATATATAGTGATACAATTATAATTTCAAAAGAGTTTGAATTTTAAACTCTTAAAAATCTCTACACCAACTTTTCTTTATTGTTCTAATTTTATCTATAACATGCTCACAAGTGCCTAGTACATTCAAATTTAGAACTTCTCAGAAATTCCCAACCTTTGGTACACAAGGACTTCACACTGGCAGTATACTTTCTAGCATGCACTGACTGAAAACAAAATATGCACAGAGAATTGAAGACATTTTAAAATGTCTTCATAGTCTCCACAAGATAGAGGCCCACAGTTGGGAGCCACTGTGTAAGATGTTGTGGAAGCACAAAGAAATTTCAGTCAATGTCCGTGCCTTTGAGAAAGTAGAAAACTAGTGAGATAAGACATATATGAAAAAAATACAATGAGATGCAACGAGAGAAAGGCAGACAACACTCCAGATGGAAGCAAACAATGTAAAGGAGATAGGTAGAAAAACAAACAGGTTTTAGAGATAAAAACTTAACCAACCAGACCAGAGAATTCCATTTGCAGAGCATAGTACAGGAGTAGCTGGTTAACTAAATTTAATTCCAACCCCTTCCAACAGCTGGTTGGTAACACCTATTAAAATATGTGCTCCTGTTCCATGCTTGCTTGTTTTAAATATCTTCTCTGGTTTTAATAGGCTATTTGCAAAATGTCTATTGAAACATTTTCAAACAAAACTAAAGCAAATAAAGTATTCCTGGTAGGCAAAATAATGGCCCTCCAAAGATGTCCACATCCTAATCCCTGGAATCTTTGAATATGTTACCTTACGTGGCAAAAGGGACTTTGTAAATGAAATTAAGGTAGTAGACCTTAAAATGGAGAGATTTTCTCAGATTACCCAAGTGGGTCCAAGGTAATCACACAGGCCTCACAACCTAAGTAGCTGGCAGAAAAGTTAGAGATATGAGATGGAAGATGAGGCAGGAGAGAATCAACATGAGAAAATGACTTGACCTGACATTGCTGGCTGGCTTGAAGATGGAGGAAGGGGCCGCAAGCCAAAGAATGCGGGCAGCCTCTAGAAACTGGGAAAAACCCTCAGTGACAGCCAGCAAGGAAACACAGACCTCAGTCCTACAAACACAAGGAACTGAATTCTGCCAACTAACTGAATGAGCAAGGAAACAGATTATCCCTTAGAGCATACAGAAACAAATGCAGGTCTACCAACATTCAGATATTAGCATAGTGAGAACCACGTCTGATTTCTGACCTACAGAGGAGTAAGGCAATAAATATGTGTTGTTTTAAGCCATTAAGTTTGTAATAATTTGCTACAGCAACAGCAGAAAATCAATTTACCACTTACAACTTTACAGTTATGTAAACAACAAGAGACACCTAATCTGCTTTAAGATAATCTAGGGCAGAAACTGTCTTCATGTTTTTATTCTCATACTTAATCAAGCATACTGCTTGGACGATAGCAGGTGCTCATGATACAATCACAAAAACAGTGTGTTCAAACGTGAAGTTTGTTTTTCTGTTTTTTTTTAAATATTTTAAAATATTTAAAATATTTTTGATTACTAGATCAAAATGCATCAAAAACCAAGTAAAAATTTAAAAATCAAATACAATTACTATTTTTATTTAAAAAAATTTTTTGACTACTAAAATCAAAATATATCAAAGACCAAGTAAAATTTTAAAAAACAACTACAAATGTTCATGAATGTAGACAACATAAAATAAATCACTTACTTTGAGCCCATCGGTAAAGTCTTTCATAAGCCGTTTCTTGAAGTAAGGCCATCTGTTCCATAATTTCTAAACTAAAAAAAATTAAAGATTTATTATAATTTAAATCTTAGTCAACAGCTACATCTAAGCACCTAATTATTTTGTTTGCATATTACATGTTACAGCATATTAACTTTTTATCATTTTATGGAATGATTTTTCAATAATTTTCTACAATTAAGTAAATGTCACATTTTAACCATCACTTACTTATCAACTACTGTTTTAGCCTAAACCTGTCAGGGTATAACTTCACTATTCTCTAAAGATAAATAAAGATTAAACTTCTATTTCACAAAATGCTATATAGTTTCACAAACAATCTAGAATATCTTTAAAATTTTGGAAACATAAGCAGCAATGCAATTAGTTCAACGAGCAGTTACTCACCCTGCCGTTTGTTGATTTGTACGCAAGAGAACTTTGACATCATTATGAATCTGTTTTACTCTTCCAAGTGCCTTGAAAAACTCCTTTAAAATTAAGAATGTGACTTTATGTCCATGCTTCAGGCAAAATTACATTATTTAAAACTGAAAGGTCACTGCCAAGGGCAAACAAACTCTTTCACCTATTTTAACGAAGACTTCCTATACTGATCTCAACTTTCTCTAAGTTTTCATAGATGATGTAACTGGTATTTATTCACATCTTCCTACTACGTGCCAAATAGTGTTGACAGTTGCCAGGAATACAAAATTTATAAAGAGAAAAATCCCTGTCCTCAAGAAGTGTACATAGTCTAGTGAGAAATGCAAAACTAAAAATTAGTAAATTAAAAAAAAACATACTGTGTATTACACATCTTATTACTTAAGCCTGGCATTCTTATTGCTGAAGATGATGTTTTATATCTCTGTTGTATACTTATTCTTGCTCCCTCGTCCAAGAGTAGAATGCAAAGTTAAATATATAGGAGGTGACAGATGCCAAACTGTTGACTGATATTTAAATGTACTGGAGGCTTAGGTTTCAGAGTGCCACAAATAGTGTTCCACTCATGAAAAATAATGGATATGTTATTTTTCTTTGATGAATAAAGCTTAAAATACTACTAATAATAATCTTCCTTTTCTAATTTCTACCAAGGGGAGAAAAAAATGATATATCAAATATTTCAAAAGCACAAAGTTCCTCAAAACATGAGGACAGTACATACTAATACATAATATCTCATACTAATACATAAAAGAAAAAGAAAATAGAAAATGTGGTCTAACTGTACTATGATGTATGAAGGAGATAAAGAGAACATATGTGTGTACTATCTGTGTTGGGGGAGGAGACAGAGTGGGTAAAAGGCTAAATCCTCACATTTCACAATAGAGAATCAATAGAAAACAGTTAACATAGATAATCAAAGCATATTCTTTTTAGCTATAGATCTGGAATATAGAATTTACAAAAGAAGCAATTAATAACATTGAAAATGGTTGGCAAAAGACCTAGAGGTGAGGAAGAGTAAAATAGGTGACATAGATTTTCTTTCTATAAGCTTTATTGACTCTGACTTTTTAAAAAGTACATGTATTACTTTGAAAAATATAATTAAAATACACATCTTAAATTTCCAAACATAAAAATATTCTCAGATGAAACTTTTTAAAATGGGAAAATAAAGCTTCAAAAATGCAGTTTCTCTCTAATATCTGTAACTACTAAACTTTAAATGATTAAAAAGTCAGGATACCTCAGTAATGGGTCCTTCTCTTGTACCTCGGAGAAGACTCATTTCATCAGAAGTCAGTTGGAACTTGGATAAGAAGGCATCTGCGACTTGTGCTCTTATCTCTAATTTTTGGCTGTAATTTTCAAAACAAGCAATAAAAGTCAAGCATCTTATTCAGTTGCATAGCTTTAAAACAGATTATATCTCAGACAACTTTTTAAAACAAAGATATGAAAAATTCTCAACATTTTCAAAAAGTCTTGTTTCTGCCTCAAATATAATTTTATCAGACATGCAGGTGATAAAATTAGCTAATATTATTCTATTTCAGATACTTGCACACAATAAATGGAGTTGATCATTATGCAAAAGAAAAAATAAGTCCATGCATGGTCCCTGCATTACAAATTTGCAGCCACTTACAGGTACTTAAATAGTTCACCTTGCAGTTTGCTAGATTGCTTTTATAAGGGAGAAATACGTACCTGTTTTCAACCAATTTCTCTTCAGTCACTAAAACAATTCCGAGCCTTTTACGTTTTCACATGAAGTACATATCAAAAATCAAATTTATTAGTTTATTTTATGTTAGAGAAGATAAGAACTCCTTTATTAATTCTCCATAAATTGCTAGTCACTTATCCACTTTTCTCTTCCCCACTTTTTCTACAAAGTATAGTAATAAAAACAACCTTTTAAATTATATTATCTGAATGCAACCTATCTAAACTAGCTGACAGAAAAAGGCACACTCAAGGACCTATGGGACTGAGTAGAATCAATACCCACAGGCAAGTTAGGAACACAAATTACTTGAACAGAAACTCAACATTCCTGGTTTCTGTATCTCAGAACTGAAAATACATACATAAAGTTATAAAAGTATTTCACTAGCAATATTCAGAGAATAGTAATATTCCACAATTAAACAAATTTCAAATAAAAATGAACAAAGATAAACACTATTTGTATAGATGATACAATGCATCTGCCATCTCTGTTTTATTTGCACCTTTGAGGTGGGAGGTTTTAAATTCAAAGTTGATTGCTAATGCGCCTACTGAATAAAGAAACTTACAAGGAAAAATCCTCCAGGTGGCAGCAAAGATCTGTTTATTTCAAATGAGAAATCACCTAATTGAGTCTACACAGATTTAAATGTCATGTTCTTAATCATCTTATTACTGATGCCTGAACGTTATCTTAATATTTATTTTATTTTTGCTTGGTTGCTTTGTTGCCTGTGCTTTTGAAGTCTTATTCAAAAAATCCTTGCCCAGTCCAATTTCATGAAACAATTCTCCTATTTTTTTTTTTTCTGGTAGTTATATAATTTGGGGTCATATAATTTACTCTTTAATCCATTTAGAGTTTGTTTTTATATATGGTGAGAGATAAGGGTCTGGTTTCATTCTTCTGTGTGTAGCTACCTAGTTTTTCCAACACCACTTACTAAAGACACTGTCTTTTACCCAATGTGTGTTCTTGGTGCCTTTGTTGAAAATCAGTTGGCTGTAAATGCATGAATTTATTTCTGGGTTCTCTAGTCTGTTCCATTGGTCTATGTGTTTTGACACCAGAACCATGCTGTTTTGTAGTATATTCTGAAGTCAGGTACTATATAATGCCTCCAGCTTTCTTCTTTTTGCTTTGACTATCCAGGTTGTTTTGCATTTCCATATGAATTTTAAGATTTTTTTCTATTTCTGTGAAGAATGTCACTAATATTTTAAAAGTAATTGCATAGAATCTGTAGATTGATTGGGGTACTATGGACATTTTAACAACATTAATTCTTCTAATTCATGGACACAGGATTATCTGCCCATTTATTTGTGTCCTTTTCAATTTCTTTCATCACTGTCTTATAATTTTCATGGTAGAGATCTTTCACCCCCTAAGTTTATTCCTATGTATTTTATCATTTTTTGTAGTTATTATAAATGGAATTGCTTTCTTCATTTCTTTTTCAGATAATCTGCTGTTCATGTATGAAAACACTACTGATTTTTGTATGTCGATAATGTCTTCTGCAACTTTACTAAATTCATTTAATATTTACACAATTCTACCATTTTTTGGTGGAGTCTTTAGGATTTTAAATATATGAAACAACCTACAGAATGGGAAGTACTTGCAAACTATGCATCTGGCAAGAAGCTACTATCTAGAATATATAAGAAACTCAAACATCTCAATAACAACAAAAAAATCTGATTTAAAAATGGGCAAAAGACCTAAATAAACATTCTCAAAAGAAGATACACAATTGGCAATAGTTATATGAAAAAAATCTCAACATCACTAATCACCAGGGAAATGCAAATCAAAACCACAGTATCACCTCTCCTCAATTAGAAAGGCTATTACCAGAAAGACAAAAAACAACAAATGCTGGCAAAAATGTAGAGAAAAAAAGAAATCTTATACACTGTTGGTGGGAATATAAATCAGTACAGCCATTACGGAAAACAGTGTGGGGTTCCTCAAAAAACTAAAACCTATCATGTGATCCAGCAATACCATTATTGGGTATATATGCAAGGGAATAATATCAGTATGTCGAAGAAACATCTGCACTTCCATGTTACTGCAGTGCTATTCACAATAGCCAAGATATGAAATCAACCTAAATGCCCATGTTCAGAAGAATGGATAAGAAAATGCATGTGTGTGTACACATACAATTGAATACTATTCTGCCATAAAACAAAATGAAATCCTGTCATCTGTGAAAACATGGATGAATCTAGAGGACATCATGTTAAGTGAAGTAAGCCAGGCACAGAAAGACAAACATCACTTGATCTTCCTCATATCATATGTGGAACCTAAAAAAGTTGACTTCATAGAGAGTACAATGATGGTTACCAGAGGTTGGGGAAGATAGTGGGGAGAGAGGGAGAGGAAGAGATTGGTCAACAAGTACAAAGTTACAGTAAGGAAGAGTAAGTTCTACTGTTTTATTACAAACTAGGGTGACTACAGTAAATAATGCAGTGGTATTTCAAGATAGTGAACATTTTGAATATTGTCACAAATAAATGATAAATGTTTTTTATCACTTATTTGATAAATGAAATGATAAATGTTTAAAGTGATAGATATGGTAATTACCTTGAAACATTACATTGTACCCCATAAATATATATAATCATTATGTCAATTATAAATTAAAAATGAATTTTAAAAAGCTTAAAGAGTTACCCTTAACAGGTTTTGTTTTATACTTTTCAAAGTTCCAGTCATTATCATAAAGAATTTAAAGTAATTATAAAATTTTATCAAATTCCTAGGGACTATGCAAATTAACCATGTGAAATAAAATGTTTTTGGGAGCTTTTTTGGATCTATCTTTAGAATCAATTTATTAGGCACAAAGAAAAATTTGTCTCTTTAGTTTATAGTTTCATTTTGTTGTAATCAAAACAAGTGTTACCCACCTTGATCATACCCCTTAATCATTACAATTCATTCCAAATAATGCTGACTGGATTTAAAAATCAATCACGAGATAAAGACTGAAACATAGGCTCTTAATATAGCTACAAAAGAGACGGTGCAAAAATATTTTTATAATGGGCACAATACTAAAACAAGAGTTTGATATATCAAGATGGCAACTTTAAAAGTAGTGACAGAATAAATTCTAATACATTTTTTAATTATCATATTACTCTAGTTTTACCACATGTGTTCTTTCCAGGGAAATTTTCACAGCCATTCTGACAGGAAGTTATTGTTCAATGGTCCAGTGATTCGGTTTGGGAATATTCACTCATTCAAATAACATTATTGGAGACTTACAATGTATAAGGCCTATGCCAGAGAACAGTGTGACAAAAGGCACTTATGACACAGACCTTGTCCTTACTTTACATCAACATATGGAACTTTTTGAGGGCTTTTAATGTCTAAGTAAAAAGTATATGAGATAAATATTAACATAAAACATATAAAGTATAACTTCCAGAGTATTTAAGATTATGTTTATACAATCACTGTATATTGTATAAATAAGTTAAATAATAATATGTGAAATACATACTACAGAAAAATACATAATAGACAAAACTGAGGTAGATCTATATGTACTAACATAAAATGATCCATAAGGCATTTTACAGATATAAAATTTGCAAGAAAGTATGTATAGGAATCCCCACTTATTTTTAAGAGCCACAATAGTCCCCCCTTATCCTCGGGGGATACAGTCCAAGACCCTCCAGTGGATGCCTGAAACTGCTGATGGTACCAAACCCTACACATACTGTTTTTCAATCTGATAACTGAGACAGCTACTAAGTGACTACTGAGTGGTGGCGTATATAGCATCACACACTAGAAAAAGGGATGATTCAAGTCCCACCAAAGTGGGAGCCAACCACTTGAGATTTCCTCATGCTGCTCAAAATGGTACACAATTTAAAGCTTATAAATTGCTTATTTCTGAAATTTTCCATTTATTACTTTCAGACTGCAGTTGACCATAAGTAATGGAAACCACACAAAGCAAAACCATAGACAAGGTTGGGAACACATACATCAATTTTCAGTATGTCCAGTCATACATCGCCTAAGTATTTAAAATAAACAGACTACTTAATCTTCATGTTCCTTCAAATCATCCCAGAACATGATTTATGAATTTTGTGGTACTTTTCTTTTTCTTGAAAACTTATCTGTGTCGTATCTTAATTCTACCTCTAGGTTCACCTACACCAAATAATTTCAAAATAATTTTTTAAAGGGACATAAGATATAAACCAAACCAAAAAAAAGTAAAGAAATATAAATGGCAAAACAAAATGAGAAACATGTCGATTCATCACTATTCAATGATATGTAAATTAAAATGATTAAATTAAATGAAAAATTAAATTAAAATGATACCAGGGCCTGTCGTGGGGTGGGGGGAGGGATAGCATTAGGAGATATACCCAATGTAAATGACAAGTTAATGGGTGCAGCACACCAACATGGCACATGTATACATATGTAACAAACCTGCACGTTGTGCACACGTACCCTAGAACTTAAAGTATAATAAAAAAATTAAAAATAAAAATAAAAATAAAGTGGTGTGATAATATTTTTCATCTATATTGGCGAAGTTTTTAATGATGATACCTA